ATTTCAAAACTTGGCCAAATTTTTTTCCATAAAATTCATACTGTATATTCTAGTGTATTGTATTATTTCCTTTGATTCGTAAATCTCCTCAATTAAAATTTTATTATAGCAGTAATATCTGCCAGTTGATAGTTATTGTTCTTACTGAAATTTTACGGGACATTAATTAACGTTATATCCTACACTTCAAACCTTCCCGGGATACAATTGGGGATTCTTAAGGACTTCTGTACGAGTCTTGTTGTTTATGAATATGAATAACGTCTAAATATCTGTCACATTCCTGGCATGCAGATTTCTTCTTTGTAATTGACATTATTTGACCTTAAACCAACTATACTTAAGGTCCGACAACGGCCGCATACTAATAAATATGTGGGTGTTTTTCCGCACCACTTGCATAACAGTGTTATACAGCGATACTTCCCTTAACCAACACCTATAAACACGAGGACACTTCCTTTGAACGGACAAATTCTGATTCCCCGCCGCATTTCCATTAGTTTCTTTACGTTAAAATCTTCTATAAAGTGGACACTCTCAACAACGGACTCTCAAATATTTTAGATTATATTCCGACTCTAAAACGGCGACCCATAATCATAAGCGGACAGCAGCCTCCAGAAAATGAACGTGTTCAGAGAAACTACGCACAGTGGGGACAAAACGGCAAAAAGCGGAAAAAATTCAGTAACATCCAGGCTATTTAAGTTAGGTTCACCTAATTTTGTGTATTTATGTTTTTTAATACGCTGAATTCAATTAAACCGTTTTCCAATCGATTAGACTACAGCAAACTGCAAAATCCAAAACTCGAAAATGTCTTAAATAATCATCATGGAAATAAGCTTAAATAAGCTTTACGAGTATTGTCAGTTATGGAATTTGTTTGTTAACTTAAACAAGTCAAAAATAATGGTCTTCCGCAGAGGGGTAGGCTTGGGAGAAAAGAGATTTGGAACTATGCTGGACAAAATATTGAGATTGTGAACCATTATAAATATCTGGGTATATATCTCACACCGCAGCTTGTTATGGAAAGACATCTTAAAGAAAAATTAAATGTAGCCAAATTTGGTATTAATTCTCTTGGAAGTCTCTCTTGTCGAATAGTGATGTTCCCATTTCAGCAAAATATAATGTATTTAACTCTGTTTCCAAGGCGGTAATGTTATACGGTGCTCAGGTTTGGGGCTACAAATGGTATGACAATGTGGAGAAATTGAACAAATATTTTTTCAAAAGGTTGTTTTTCCTAAGAAAGGATACACCCGATTATGTCTTATATTTAGAGACAGGGATTGATCCATTGTTTTTCAACACTTTAAGCCTGCATCTGACATACATCCAAAAAGTTTTATCATTGTCTTCTGCTAGACTTCCTCGAATTTTGGCCTTGAAAATACTACACAAGAAAATATTTTGGGCAAAAGAATTTGACAATTTGTGTCTACAACACGGTTTAACTCCCTTGAGTCCGACATAAATAAAAATAGTAATAGTGTGGAAAGCTTGGTAGATGCTTTGTGGAAAGCTTGGTAGATGTTTTAAGAACTGATTTTAAAAATAAACTAAAATTAAGAGCACAACGGTCTGTCTTCCATGGTTTATACAAAGAACTGAGTCTGGAATTAGGAGAAAATCACCATTATTTAAATAAAAATTATAATTTGAATATGATAAGTGTGATAATGAAAGCAAGAGGTCAGTTGCTGTCTCTTAATTACTCGGTCCACAGAAATGAGGAAGCGTACCGTTGTGCTTTGTGTAATTTAGGTGTGTATGAGGATGGCTTCCATTTTTTGCCGGTGTGCCCTATATTAAAGGAATTCAGACTTAGGTGGTTTGGCAAATTGTTTTTAGGAAAAAATGAAGTAATTTCATTTTTGAATGGGCAGAACTAGCACAGTCTCACAATTATGTTTTGTACTCCCTAAAATACAGAGCGTTCCTAATCGATAATTTCAATTATTAATAAAGTATTGTGTAAATTATGACTATTTGTATTAGTATTTTAGTATTCGTATTATTGTCTGTTTTTTCTTTTGGTAACTCGACAGACAGCCTGTGGGCTATTGTCTAGGATGTTTTATGTACTGAATATTTTTTTGTAAAATAATTTTTAATGTAAATAAACATCATTATCTGTCTAATCATCATGGTTTACGTTTTCTGTTTTTTATATGCTAAATCCAAATTTGAGCGGTGAATAGTTATCATTCATTGATTCTACTATTAATTTACTAAAAGAAACGTGTATTAAAGTATTAAAATGCCCACTTTAGAAAAATTGGGTCTTTTCCGACTTCGTCCCAAGGGCCAAACCCTGTTTATCGGCAAAAATTGGAAACTATCGATTTTTGTTTTTTGGAGTGCTTAGCCGATTGAAATTGATCCCAAGGCCACGGGATGAACACCTAAGAAGATCATCAGTTAGAACTTGGGCTTCTCTCCAATTGATTTCCGCGCACACGAGAATCGGTTGTCCTAAATCCCCGATGAAATACCTTTGAAGACACAAAGATGGATAAAAAATAATCAACATACCAATATAATATTTTATATAGAGCTAAGGAAAGTGGAGCTTGTTTCGTAGGACTACTAATTCTTACATTGTAGTGCTGTAACGTGCTCAATTGTTTTTTCAGGTTTTGACCGCTGTATTGCTTTGTTAGGGATCCTAGAAAAGCAAAAACAAAAAAATTAAATTTTTTCTCACCTCGCGTTGACCTAACACACTCCTGGCAAATTATCTCAAGTTCACTCATAACTCTTGACTTTGGACCACTATTTAGGGGATTTTAGTTGTGTTTTAGCTCAAATCCTTGGTGAACCCAGATTTTGTGGCTAATACTGTGATCATTATTAATCAGATTTTCTAAATCGACACTTTCAGAAAATCAAAATTTTTCCGCCCTTGCCATCACTGTGCTCCGTTTCACCTATGTGTTTTGTTCGCCTTCCAACGTTTTTCCAATATTCCTAGACTTGGATAATGCAACTTTTTATAATTTACGTATTTTTTTATAATTTTAAATATTTTTTCTCTGCGTTTGACATAAAGAAAAAATTAATATAATTAAAATAAGTGAAAATGAAAAACTAAGTGTGTGAGACTTGGCTGCTAAGTTTTCCGTCGGCAAGACCCAGGCAAGCGAAGTTCTAAAGAATAAAAAAGAACTTTTAGACAAATTTTACAAAAAAAGGAAACGACCAACCCGACAGATTTTTCCCTAAAACGTCTGGTCCGGCCATAGACCAGCACGTATTTGAATGGTTTTGCCTGTTCGGGCTTGGAATTACCACTGGCCCGCTTACAAGCTGTATTCGTGTTTCTGGCGCATGATCTTCTTAAGCACCCTCCGCATTTGGAAGATAGGACGAGGAAGCGTATAGGATGCGAGGATGCAAAGACTACGCCTTCTCAGACCCTCGAAATGCGTTAAGGGAGCAACTCCCGAACTGACCGCAGAGGGCGGGTGCTGGATCGGAAGCACACGAGGGTTAGGATACCAGATCCTGTCAGCATAAACGAGGGAGGGTGCATAATCATCTGAACTAAGGGGCAGCGAAAGGTTCCAAGTCCAGTCCAGCTGTATGGGAATGGAGTGGTAGTGGCTTAGTGGTTTGGCTCCTGGGGAGTACTTAGAGAAGAGCCTCTGGTGGTGCCCTTATGGGCTTCCATTACCGAAGCCATGTTCCTCTAAGGGGTGGTTAGAAATTCCACTTTAAACGAAACCGCGGCCATAGCGGATCCAGCAGTTTCGACGCTGGCGAAGCCCTACACTCAGGGAGATAGGGCTGTCTTCTCTATCGAGGGAGCGCGTTCGTCGATTTTCAGCTCTTTCGGGTATCCCTTTAAACGCGGCATATGGTCAAAGTAAAATGTTAACCCAACTCTTCGGAAGAGGCAAGCGGGATTAGCCGTTATGTCTGTACATGCATAGTCTGTCGATGTGGTGGCTTCTACACCGAACCTCACGGTGTTCACACTATCTACCGCGAGCGGAGACGAGACGTTCTTACCTTGTGGCATATGTGCCATGTGCGCACGTTAAAGAACCTCATTGTCCAATGACATTGCAACCCACACTGGGAAACATACATGTCTGGTCCTCTTATACGAGAAAAGGTTGGTTAGACAAATTTAGTACAAAGCATAAGATTTCTCTTAAGTCCATTTAGTGGATTGAACGACCGAGGTTGTACAAAACAGAAAAAACTTCAATACTGCCTCTATTTTGAACCAGAAAATAATTTTAATTGCAATGAGAGGGCTTTACTTTTTTAGATTACACCCGGATGAAACTATGCAGTTCAAAACTGAGGGTTGGCCGAGGAAAAGTTCCAAAGGATCGTTTAACTTTGCTCCTATACAAAAGAATGCTAGGTCAATTTGAAAACTCTCTGGTGGTTTGAAAAATCTGAAAGCAGCAGGTAAGGTTCTGGGCGACCATCTGCAGTGGACTGCTTTTCATATCCTGGTTTTCCGATGTTCTCCACCTATTTACTGTCTTTCAGATCCTCCTCTAGCCAGTTTGTCTTCTTGTTCATTACCCCCAGCACCCAAGATATTGTCATGTTTTGGAAGCATTTTCCGACTATTTGGTTTGACCTTTTTTACGTGATAACGGTTTTCCTTGGCTTTCTGATCTTTTTTGGTTTTTTTGTCAGTGTAGCCTCATGTAATTCTCTGTGGCATGCATTTGCACTTGAAATGAGATGTATTTCACCAACTCATAGTCCTCACCTTGTCTATTTCGGACCAAATACCTCTTCAGATCAATGGCATATTTTCTTGAGCTACCGTTGACCAAAAAGCAAAAATGTATTATACCTTTGCAAACTAGAATCCAAATCCAGGGGATAGAGCAGTTGCCTGATTACAATTAAACAATTGGGAACGTTAGGCACAAGAAAACAATTGATAGAAAATACAATGTTATTATTGTTTACTGCTTAAAAAAAAGTAGAAGGTTTATTAAAGGGAATAAACAATAGAAAATTTTATTTATTTATTGTTTTGACCGAGAAAGATTTTCATGTAGATGCATAAGGAATGAAATAGCACTGGTTTTATAACTGAAAATGCGTTTAACTAAATTTACATTTGGAAAAATCCATTTCCGGATGCTGTTCCATAAACCTGAAAATTAATTATTAAATTAACACTAACAGGTATTTATTTGGTTTTAATAACATTTTATTGTTCAAAAGTCTTACTTGGCGAACATTTCCTTTTTCTTTTGTTCTTCAGAGGTTGGAAGGCCTAATTCCCTCTGTCTCTGGTCGTACATCATTTTTTCAACGAGACCCCTCGTCTCTCCGTCCAGGTCGGAAAGCTTCGACGGTTCCGGGTTAATCTTTTTAGTGGAGATTTCAGGATCTGTCATCACCAATTTGGACCACCATTCCATTTGATTGACCTGTTAAAAAAATATACATATAGAACGATGCCTTGAAGCTAATGTGAAATCCTTGCCTTTTCTATGTTAATAAGCAGAGAGTTTCCGTCTTCTAAAAGCCAGGTCGATTCTTCCAATTTAATCTCATGCTCGAATTCACCGTTTATGATGTCCGGATGGCCTCTCAGGCCGACTTTAATCGACTTTTTCTGTAAATCGACGACAACGTCGCGGGATTTGACTTTGAAATTGACTCTCAAAGGGACCCGGAGCTGAAACAAAAAACAATCATGGAAGAAAAATCAAAAGGAAAAAATAATCTACACAAATATGATGGTTTACAGTAAAAACAATTTCGTAAATTATCATTAGTGTAAATGATCAATGATAGATACGACTCGCCGTTTTCTTCCAGGGCTAATAAAAAGCCGTGCAAAGTTTAAAATCATCTCACGAGTCGTGACAAAACCAAATTCCCCTTTCGCAACAGTTTTGAAACAGAAATGAGAGCGATTTGAAAAGTGTTGCAAGGGCTCGGTTGATTTTTCTCATAATGAAATAAAACAAAATGCGTTTGGGCTTTGTAAGAACAGGAATCACGAAAGTACACACGTTTACTTTTTTTTTGAGGTTGGATCTGCGGCGAAGGCAACATAGAGAAAAAAGCGACACTAGGCGGACCAAGGTGATTTATAAAAATCGAACAGGAGTATTTATTAATTCTATTTCTAATTTCTTAAATTAATATTTTTCCTATAATTAAATATTCCTTTTTGAATTAATAAATCTACTCATAAATTTCTTAATCGTAGCCTGTTCTTCTTGCCAAACTTACACTTGAACGGAAATTCATCTGTCCGAAAAAATAAAGCTATCTAAGAAATTTTTCCTTAAACATATTACATTTATAAACTTAAAATTAATTTTTTTTTTGGCGTTATGATCTACGCATATTAGCCATGGCGACGAATTCTTATATGTGTTCCAATTGGGGGGGGGGGGGTATCGTGAAAAAAGGGCCAGAGGCGACGGTGGGAATCGAACCCACGACAGCGGCGTGAGAGTCTCTCATGCTAACCACTCGGCTACCGCGGTCCCTAATAAATTAATTAATAATTATCGACGATCAATAATAAGATAAGTAATTAAGATGTTATTTTCTCAACAGCTGAGTTCGAATTCTGGTTTTGATCCAGTTAACAAGTCATCCGCAAATGGGAAAAACTCAGTTTCTTCTGGAAGCTAGATGGACAGCAAAGTTATCCAAAATCATTGGTCCGCAGTATGATCCTTGTGGGCAACCCTTTTCCACTTTCCAAGAAATGTCACCATTATGCAAACTCTTGTCTAGCCAAAGGACTTGGGCATACAATTTTATGTGCAAAACCGTTAGTAGGAGAAGACACACTCGAAAAATAGTAACAAATGACACGCTTTAATTCGTGCCGACATACTTAAGTTGTATCCTAAAGTCTAACAGCCTACTACTTTATAGGATAGGGGATGTATCTACAGCTAAGATAAGTTTAAAGAAAATTGGTCTTATTTCTATGAAAGATGTTTTTCTCCTCGCAAGGTTAGCAGTTAAAATTTCTGCATTAAGGAATTTAACTCATATGTTAAATTGTGAGATTTTCTCCTGTAGCCTGTGGGGTTATAACTTATAGTTTGATAGTATCTATCGTCTTGGTCTGCCTACCTAGGAAAAATGGTAAGTATAATTTATTATCAAACATGTTAAAGAGTTCACATGTTACATATAGGCTGTTTTCTGCGTTTTCTGTAGAGATCTACGAGTGTAATGTCACTAGTTGAATATCAACATACTTAGTTTGTAAAAGGTTGTTGCCTTAGCAATTAATCATATGGTTAGATTGTATAGGGAAGAAATGAATTTTATAAAGTGTAGCTATGATCAGAGTGGGGCTTGCGGTTTAAGGATGTGTTTGAATAATGTAAAACCAGTACGAGTGCAATGATAAAAATGTGAGTGTGAATGTAGTGTTAGTGTTTGTGAATGTAACATTTGTGTGAGAATGTTTTTCAGCGTGCAAGAAGTAAATAATAGCGATTAAAGTGCGCTCTGAAAGTGTTAACGTAAATTGTAGTAATTATGTGCGCGTGAATGAAAATGTGTCTCTGAGAGAATGTAAATACGTGCAATTAAATGTAAATTTTTGTTTCTGTGTGTGAATGTGAGTGTATGAGAATAAATATTTGTGAGTGTGTCAACGTAAAAATGTGCTGGTGTATGTGATTATAAATATCTGTGTGTGCGTGAATGTAAACATATGCGTGTGACTGTAAATTCTTTGAGTGTTAACGTAAATATTTGGGGGGGGGAGTAATTTGAATATGTGTGACTGGATGAATTTAAATAAATGTGAGTGTTTAAGCAAACGTGAATAGGTTTGAATGTGTGAATGTACAATCTGTCTATGGATGAAAGTGCGTAAATATGTGTAAGTGAGTAAACGTAAATATATATTTTGTGCATGTATGAAAGAAAATAGTGGTTGTTTACGTGAATTCTTTGAATCTAACCGTAAATATTTTTTTTGGCGGGGAGGTTAATTTTAGTATATGTGACAGGTGAAAATAAATAAATGTGTGCTAAGCGGATCTGAATATTTTAATGTATTTGTGAATGAAAATATGTTTTAGTGTGAATGTATATATGTGAGTGTGAATCTAAATATTTCTTAATGAATGTGAATAGGTGACAGAGTGAATACAAAATCTTCGCGAATATTTCTGAATTAGTGAATGTAATTTGTATATTTTGCGTTGTAATATTGTAAATTACTGAACATTAACTATTACACGTACTAATTATGAAAAAATTAAATTAACTAACCATCACTAAATGTAAACGTGTGAGTTTTATCCTAAATGTTGAGTAGGGGATAAATTGAATATGTGTGAATTTTTTTTTTAAAATGTTTTATTCGTTTATCTGAAGAGTGGAATAGGCTAAACTGACAAGACACCCAAACATTGAAAAATGGTAGGTTCAGATTGGAGGGTAAAGGAAAATGTCTTTATGCCAGTATTCAAATTAGTGTGTAGTTTTTACACTTCTGTTTTAAATTGATGTGAGAATAAAACAAGGAATAGAACAAGGAAATCTGTTTCAGCATTGTAATACATTCTTCTTTATGTATTGGGTTGTCCGGAAAATAATGCAGGATTTTAAGTTTTCATTAAAAAAAATCTATATAAAATATTCTGTTTACGTTTACAGGATTACTCATTTGTATGAATGTCAACACTTATTAATCCTCTTCCAAATGATATTGTTTGTTTACCTCTGTAGCATTCCGCTACTTGGAAATAATTCAGTCATCCTTATAATGTCAAAGCGAGAATTTCGTACGATTTTCTTTTACGAGTTTAAACTCGGCCGAAGCGGAGCCCAAACGGCTAGAAACATTAACCAAGTCTGGGGCGAGGGTTGTGTTAATGAGTGCACTGTGCAAAGGTGGTTTAAAAAATTTCGGGAGGGAGATTTCAGCCTTGAAGATGAAGAAGGTCGTGGAAGGCCTTCCTCTCTTAATGATGATGTTCTGCGATCAGTGGTGGAAGAAAACCCCAAAACAACTGTTCGAGAACTTGCAGAGCAACTCAAAGTCAGTAAAACGACCGTCGCTGACCACCTCAAGGCGATTGGAAAAGTGAAAAAACTCGAAAATTGGGTTCCACACTCATTAAACGATCGCCAAAAAAATCAGCGCTTTGATGTTTGTGCATCACTTCTTTGTCGAAACAAAAATGACCCATTTCTGGCCAGAATTGTTACATGTGACGAAAAGTGGATTCTCTACGATAACACTAGACGTTCTGGACAGTGGCTCGACAAAGGAGAAGCTCCAATACATTTTCCAAAGCCCCCAACTCATCAAAAAAAGGTAATGGTTACGGTATGGTGGGCTTCATTTGGTTTAATACACTACAGCTTCTTAAATCCTGGCGAAACCATCAATGCTGAATCATACTGTAACCAAATTAATACCATGCATCAGAAATTGGCAGTAATGAAGCCCTCTTTGGTCAATCGGAAAGGGCCCATTTTGTTGCATGACAACGCTCGACCACATGTGTCACGTGTAACGTCACAAAAATTATTGGAGCTTGGCTATGAAACTTTGCCTCACCCACCCTACTCTCCGGACCTCTCGCCTACTGACTACCATTTTTTTAGACACCTGGACCACTACTTACAACACATAATATTCAAAAATCAAACGGAACTGGAAAATGCATTTATTGACTTTATCAATTCTAAAAATTCTGAATTCTACTCAGACGGAATTAATAAGTTACCAACACGTTGGGAGAAATGTATTGAGAGTATGGGAAATTATTTTGATTAAAGAACATTGCTTTAAAGTAACTAGTTTCTTTTTTTTTGTTTAATACCAAAATCCTGCATTATTTTCCGGACAACCCAATAGTTAGTAAAAAATTGTGTTTTTCAATGTTCATTTCGTTTTGCTTTTTTATTAAGTAAATAAACATACCTTTAGAGTTTCTTTTTTTAAATAAAATAAAAATATTTATTTTTTATTCTTCACTGTACAGATGGTATCAAGTTCAATAGTAGTTACGCAAGATTGTTTTTGCATCTATCCCATCATGTTTTCTGTACCTTTTTTGCATTCTTATTTCTTTTATTTCGAATTTTATTTTTATTTTAATCCTATCTTCTATTAAAAGGATGCCGGCTTATTTAAAAAAATTAAAACTCCTCGCGGTTGGAGATTAGTTTTTTCATTCGTTAAAAACTGAATGACCTTTGACACTCACACTTACTCGTTCAAAAAACCCCCTATTTTTCTATATTATGCACTCTAACATTGCAAGAAAGTTTACAATGGATTTTGTCGACTAAATAAAATGTAAGGAATGTCCGTTAAGTGTAATGCAACGAGTTATCATATATCAGAAATTTACTAATTTTGCATTAAGATTCTTTTTTATTTATAATAAAAGGAACTTGGGGGACGTCGGTGGCTGCAACGGTTTAAGCGTTGACATGGCACTCATCACTGTAAGGTAAAGGTCCCGGGTTCGAATCCAGCGGCCTGCATTCGAACCCGACATACTTACAAATGGGCTTTTTTCACAAACACCGTCACCCTGAGGATTTGTATGACCTCTGATGGAAAAAAAAAAGAAAAAAAAAGTGAACTTGTAATTTGTTCCATATAAAAAACCTGGTGGAATGCAGTGTTCACTTTAAATTCTAAAAGGGCAATAATTTTGTTGTTAT